TTTAAGGCCGATGATTTGTACTCCATGTGGAGACTGACTGTTTGTTGTCTGGTCTGGCCTTGTTTGTACTTCATACCCTCTGTATACATGCAGACACACACTCGCTGCAAAGAATAACGTGGAAGAAAATATCAAACAAACTCGACTCAAAGCCACGTCACCATTAGCCTAATTAAGCCAAACGAGCTGCAGCTGATCACAGGTGTGTTACCTTTGCGCTCGAAGCTTTCTTCTCGCAGGATGCAGACGAGGGCCAGGAACTTGGTGACCTCTTTCAGGTACAGCACAGTCGTGTTGTTGAGCTTAATGATGGCCATGGACTCCTTGTCATAGGCACTGCCGCTGCCGTCCTCCCTCAGACTGATTGTGGAACAACACCACAACGTTCAGGGGAAAATGTGGATTAATTAAGCAAATAAACGCAGAAATTACTTCAATCAAAGTATCCGCAGCGAACTCTATATCCTAAATGCTTTTTTCTGTATTTAATATGTCATTTAAAGTTTGGATCACACTCACCCGTAGATGCAGGAGACATCAATGACCACGTCGATCATGTCACAGCACAGTTCGTAGGACTGCATGTCTACGGGAGAGCTGTCTGTGGCGATGTAGATCTTACTGACCACGTCAAACAGAAAGGCCTTCTCTATCCCCGAGTTCTGCCATTGATTAAGATGAGAGGGAGGAAGAGAAATTAAAGAGGAAGAGACAAAATGAGGAAAGAAAGGGGCGTTAGGAAATGATTATATACGGTTAAGACATTGGACATTTGGTATTTAGACAGAAGGGGAGGGAGATATGATGACATAATGCTTTGAGACATTACTAATTTGGCAGCTGTCAAGAGATCTTTCAACAGCAACAACTATTATTATACTATTAAAATGTGAGATAATAGTAAAATGACATTTTTCTGAAGCAAACGTTCACGTAATAAAGTTAGTTTTGTCGAGTCAACAATTCAAAACCTGAAAAACACTCAGTTTCCAATCAGAGGAAAACATTAACATCTCAGAATCTGGTGAATTTTCATGTTTCTGAAGAGAATATTAAAAAATAAATTAGTAGAACGATAGAAAAAATCTTTGCAGATTAATATTCTGACGAACGGTTTATCGATTAATTGTTTAAACTCTAGATATTCATTCCGTTGTACTGCGGTAGGTCGCCTGTAATATTTCTGGGTGTACAGTATTCAGGTTACGATTCTATTATTGATTTTGCCTCAACGTGATGAAGTACCATCATTTGATATTTTATCTGCTCAATTAGACACAAACGGACCCGTCTGGTGCATATTTTATTAATTAATGATTTTCCAGAGTTAATCAACACACACATTTAAATGTGAATACACTGGTACAATCGTTTAAATTCCAGATACCACGATAGTGAATCTTCAAAATACAGGGTTTCACTTTATGTTTCAAATGTCACTGTGCGCTAACAGACGACAAACATACAAACAAAAATCAACATCAATCTGGCAAGTATTTCTTTGAAGTATTTCTCAGTACTTATGAAATGTAACATATAAACAGAGCGTTGGAGCTTCACACACTTAACCCTTTTGGAGCAGATATTTTTGTCTGGATACCAGAACAGTTTGCTCATTTTGTATCATGTGAGGCAGGAGTGCTTGTTGCAATACAATTCTAAATGCATCATTGAGAATGTGTGCAGCATCACAATCAACCACTACGAGGGCTTTTGGAGGAACTGCTCCCCATAAAGTGGCATCAGAGCTGGCAGTGACTCACGTAAAGCAGGCCGCCGCGCATTAATCACGCTGCTCAGTGACAAACTTCACGAGAAGCCTGATTTACAAAAGTGTTTGGCCGCTCCGAGTTCACTTACCGAGATGAAGATGTTGAGGAGGTTCTCCAGGGTGGGAAGCTGAGGGATGAGCTTCTGCACCACTTTGCTGAAGGCCTCAAAGATGGAGTGGTCGTAAATACTCGTCAAGTAAAAGCTGAAGGACAAAAAAAAACAAGAAGAGGGAAGTGAATAAGTGGTTACTAGTAGGAAACACTTCTCACTTCCTTAAAAACACATACGATAGCAGGTACAAATACAGATCGTCACGACGAGATCACATGACACTGGATGGTCGAGCGGTTCATCAAAGCTGATTCAGACATAAAAACACAGGAATGAAAACGAAATGTTCGCAAAACTGGACACACATGACTTGTAGAGTTTTGTTACTGAGATATAAATAAAGACGTCAGACTGAGGAAGCCAGCGACTTGAGCCAAACGGTCTGCAGACATTTGGCAGAAGCTAAACTTCACAATGCATTACAGTGAAGAAAGCACCGGAGAGCCACAAAGCGGAGCCAAAAAAAATAAATAAAAAGGCCTTCTCAGCGTCGCTATATATCCGGGACGGCTCCGGCTGTCGAACCGGAATGAACGAGAATCTCACCGCACATAAAAACACAGTGCAGCGGGAGCCAACACAGACCAGAACACAACAGCAGAGCACTGCAGAGATGACAGAGATCAGCCGGGACGTCCCGTTTCAGGTCGTACAGTTTCTACACAGCATGTCAGGTGACAGGCTGCAGTTAATGAGGGCTTTTAGGCTTTGTTTAAATGACTTATTCTCATTATATTCAGAAATCTATTGATTCATCTAACATTATATTAATAGATGAATCGTTGTCTTTAAATTGTCATGAAAACGACGTGTTGGTTTTGTTCCATAGTTCATGCTCAACAATCCCTCAAATTCAACAAGCAAAATAATTACCAGTGTTTATGAAAAATGACTTAAATCCCTTCTTTAATCAATGAACAATACTGCCATGAAGTATTAAATCAGTTAATTATTTCAGCTCAACTACATTTCTTTCTGCCTCTTAAATAAGTCAGATCTGAGTAACTTGAATCATAACAGCTCTGGCATGTGAAGCGTTGTTTCTTCATTAGGAGGTCAAAGAGGAATCTCACAGTAACACTACTGAAGTCACAGAACCAACCAGCCAATCAGCTTCTCCCCTCAACTACTGTGTCACAAAATAACTTTTCACTTTCCACATAATGTCCGAAGCATCTTGATTAAAGACTCTACTCCAGGGTTACACTACAAGTCATATGCCTCCGATAACGCCGATATGTTGTTACGAGACTGAGGTAGGAAAAAATAAATTAAACTGTTATTTCCACTTTCAAACTTCACACTAATTGAATGCAGTGGGAGGTATGACTGACTGACTGGCTGGCTGTTAACACTGACATGTGTTGTGGTAGCAGGAACATGGTGTTTTAAAACAGATACTGAATTAACATGTTTAATATAACAACTAAAGTTACAAGTTACCAAACATCATAGGATGAGCTACATTAGAGAAATAACTTTTAAGAAATGGTATTGAAGAAGTTCTAAATAGGCACTGTTGTAACATGCAGACACAAATTAACAAAACAGTCTGTAAGCATGAAGAGAGCTTCATGCTCTCGCATGTGTTCACATTTGGCCGTTATGAGTGTGTAGTTATGGAAATGCGTTGAAACTTGAAATTTTGGAGAGATGTGTGGTGTTCATGCATTGAAATAGCAGAGTAACCCTTTCACTCTGACAGTGTTTATTAGATTTACCTCTTTGTTGCAGTCTGTGCACGTGTGTGGTTTTAAAAGGCACTATTACACTACACTATTAACAGTAATACACAGATAGGACAACCTGGTGTCAAATGTGCCGATAAGCGTTGGCGTATTTTCATATTGGACTAAGCCATCGTCTAGTACAGGTGTTCTTATCATAGTTTTATATTGATGGGACTCGGGTGTTACTAGGAGAGAGACAAGGGCCTGTGTGCATGTTCTTTATGGCGACGCAGTAATAAGAACCGATAGCTAAACTAAACATGCACAGACAACAGGTGAGACGGTGTGTATTAGCGTGTGCGAGACACCATCAATTTAAATGACTCTGTACCGACATGTGATTGCATAGACAGCAGGGATACACAACGCTTTCTTCAGTGTGGAAGTCAAATAACAAAATGTCACCTGAGATGCAGCTTCTCTAAGCTGGCGTCGGCCAGGTCGTCGTTGGCTCTCTGGTGGATGTCTCTCTGGGTTTCGATCTTGTGATCGTCCGAGAGGCCGTCCACTTTGTGGATGAACACCTCGAAGTTGATCTCTGGGTTGACCCGGTAGGCCCGAGACACGGTGAGGTGAAGCCTGCCCAGGGCCTCCACGTAATCGTCCTGTGAGGAAGACGGTGACGTACTATTACACAATATGCAACATGCACATCTTTTCAGTCAGTAAATATGAGCGGGAGAACCAACACACGCCGTCTAGAACAGTGTTACAGGGATGACCCATGCACTTATCATCAGGTGTACACTGTGATCAGCTTTAGACCAGGTATGAGGAAAGGTACTGCTGCAAGTCTCCTCAGATATCACCGTGTGACCAACTAATGAAACTAATTGAAAAAACAGGTAAACCACAATGTTTGCTTCTTCCCTGTTCCTCACCTGAGCGTCGATGACAAATATCAGAGCCCCGGTTCCTCTGAAGATCATCTCGTAGTCGAAGGTGGGGTCGAAGAAGTCCACCTGACCCGGGAAGTCCCAGATCTGGAAGTTGACAAAGGAGCTGCTGGAGATGTCATCCTTGTAGATCTTGTTGGTGCTCTCCAGGAACAACGTCTCATTGGGAGACATTTTGTGGAACACCACCTGGAATCAGAAATACCAATGTTTAAATAGTATAAATACAGAGGACTTGTCTTGGTGATTTTGTGTAGAATTTACATTTTTGTTTTCAGAATTTGCCACTTGTGAGATTTGTTTTCAAAATGTACTTGTCATCTATGTAAAGACAACAACCCCCCCGGTGCTCAAATTAATCACAGCCAAGACATTTTAATAGACCTCCTCACCATCATCAGTATATTTTTGCAACCTTTCAATGTTTGTTAAATTACTGTTCAACGTGTGTGTTAAATGGCTGAGACGACACGCATTCTTTCATCTCATTTGCCTAGAACGTTATAGAGAACATCCAGACAGTATTGAATTCCGTCTTACGCAATGATTCAGGCAATAAGACATCATCTGGACGTCACATGCAGGGCGAGAGGGGGAAAGGGCACAACGCTGCGGACTCAGTATGATGCAGCACTTTGCCAGCCGCCTGCTGTCTCACAGTAAGTCAGTAAGACTGCAGCTGTATGAAGTGAGGTTAGAGTTTGATCAGGGTGCTGCTCTACTGACTACAGTTACAGGTAGGAAGTAAGTTGCAGTGGGTGATGGTGGAGGGCCTGGGAGTGCTCTCTCTCTCTCTCTCTCTCCACCACTGCCATTTTTAAAATCAGTGTGTGGGCCACTGAGGTCAAAGGCCACATGAACCAGCAAAAAAAAAAAAGCCAAATCACATGTTTTTCAGCCCAGAGTGAATGCTTACAGGAGAACGTTAATCTAAGACGGAGTGTGGATTATAGCAAAAACAGTGCGAGTGTGCACTTCACCACAGAAAACTGCCGTTCTTTACGTTTGTTTCTTCGGGCATTATCGGCAGGAAAAGGCGCCTGGCGAGTCACGCTACATCACGCCTGATTCCACTCCCCCCCCCCTTGAATTTTAACATAAATAATAAAAATGTGCACGTCATCTATTATTCAACCACAGTGCCCGTCTGAAAGCGGTAGGCTTGAAGAATATAAGTGAGACAGCGAAACCTTGCCGTGGAATGTATGACACGAAAGAAAAAGCTTTCAAAAGAAGCATCAGGCTCATTGCATGTCCATTGGTTGTAATAATTGGATTAACCACTAAAATACAATATTGACTAAAGCATGTTTTGTAGAGGGACCATGTGTCAGAATCTATATTTTATTTATATGGATAGATAGATATACAGTTATAGCAGAGGTGGATCATTTCAGGTGGACCAGCTCACCTGAAACAAAAGTTCATGGCTGCTCATATCATAAACAATATTAGTCCAATATATGAAGCCATAGGGAGAAAAAAAAAACAGAGTTGCTGATATGCCTTATATGTAATAAGTGCAACTAATATTTAGGCCTTCATCTAATATGGAAATTGATCACATGACAAGCTGCGTCAGGTGGCTTACCACCACAGCTAAAACATTTGTCAGGACAGTACTGGTTGCTCTGGACTTGGAGGCCACACTGCACATGAGGGTGGTTGGTGGTGGGTCTTTAGGGGCCCCTTAACTCATTAATCCAGCTTTGATTTAAAAACATCAACATCTGAAAGACCATGTTGGCCACCCTGCAGGTGCCATTACTGGTGCACTGATTTTAAAACAAAGTGTAGTGACTTGCAGAAGGGTAGGTGTGGTCGGGTTGCAGTCACGTGAGAGCTACACGACTAAGGTATATTTGGCATGTTGGACGAATTGTTAAGCAAACAGTCACGTGCTTTTGACGTCCATATGTCAGTAAAGATGCACTACAGCGTCACCTGTCCACCTGGTTAATGATTCACTGCTGTAGCAAAACGAAGCTAACACTGGAGGCTAATTGCTCATTAGCTGTTAGGTTTTTTTTAAATTTCAGTTCCCTCTCGCGTGCAGCTAGGTGTGTTATCCGCTGGTTCATAGCTATCACATGTCACTTACGACATGCTAGCCTGACGCGTTAGCTATTTTGGCTAACGTCGTAGTTTTAACATCTCCCCCAGTTTACCTTCTGTATGGATGATTTGCCGCTTCTCCTCAGACCCATGAGCAGGATTCTCGGCTTGCTGTCGGACAGCGCCGGGCTGTCCTCGATGTCGGCCTCCTCCTCTTCACCATAACCGAAATCTTTGGGGAACGAGTCCGCAGCCCCGTAGCTGTCGGCCAGCTGTTCCACCTCGTACTGGATCGACATTTTGTCGCTTTTCCTCCTCTTCTCTTCCCTTCCCTCCTCCTCCTCCTCCTCCTTTACTTGTCGGTCACCGCACCCGTGTTTGTACCGGACGGTCGGTCGGTGTGCGCCACAAACTATCGTCACACAATGAATAGAGTTTGTCAATAAAGCCCAGGCTACTTGGAAACACCGAGCGTGATCCCACACATTTCGGATTTCCTCTCCCTTTGAAAAAAACAAAAAAAATAGCCTTTTGTTCCCGCCTCCTTGATTCTGATTTGCTGCCTGAATTCATAGACGACAAATGATTGGTCGGAAGCTCCTGTCACTCTACTGAGGTTTGTCGCTGTCACCTGACTAGTACTCAGACCTGTTTTGTGACCTATCACCCAATTAATATGCAAATATACGCTCTTAACAAAACGGTGTGAAGCCATTTAAGTTCGCTACATTAAGACTTAATTTTAACATTTTTTATTTGTGGTAAAAAAAAGTTAGCATTTGAAGAAGGTTGCTAAAAATGAGCCGATTAGAAAGTGGGCAGCGCTGGTGTCCTGCGATATGACCAGCAGATGGCGCCAGAAATCAACTAAACGGAAGACATTCAGTGTCTTTCTACAATGTCGGAATTAATCGTGTTCAAGGTTCAGGCGTCATGTTTTATCTATTCAGTAGCATGTAATTTATTAAGACACACTTGAGTTAGAGCTGTGATTATTCTCTCGAGGAGTATAGCCAGGACTTTGAGATATGTAGAAATACTGAGGTAATGAGTCCAGCGCCCAACCAACTGCCAATGAGGGTTTTTTGCTCTCGTCAATCATTACGTGAGATACACTATTGTTTTTACGAGGCATACCTGAAGGCAGCATCTAACTCATCAGACCCGTTGCATAAACGAAACTTAACGAGTTTACCTGCGTTTCAAAAGTAGGTTTTTGCGGAATTAAGCGGGACCCAAAAGCAGTGACTACAAGAAGAAAGTCAACCGTCACTATGGCACATTCTAGAGTAAGTGTGTTTGCTACTGTCCGCTTTGTCTGACATTAATGTTTAGCCGAAACAGTTTCTTATTTAACGTCACTAACTTTAGCCTTTAGCTAAACTAAGAGTGGCTAAGCTAACGTCAGGTGACAAGGTGCTCATCAGGGAGTCGATGTACCACGTGTGACAACTCCTGTTGTAAATGTTTGTTGATGCACTTAAGTAAAGATAATGTCAATAACCCAACTACAATTTTCTAACATTTTCTCCTGCAGGTCATAATTTCACAATTTTTTTTATGTCTGACGTTAACAACGTTTACTCTTAACTTTGAAAAGGACTAACAAGCAGGACATTAAAGGACATTAAAGTACAGTTTTGTTGGTAATAAAATGGATGTTTTTTTTTCTTCCTGCAGGCTCCAGACCCCAAAAGGGAACAGTTTAGGAGATACTTGGAGAAGGCTGGTGTTGTTGACAGTCTGACCAGTGGTAAGGCATTGTTGGTCTTACTAATAAGGGCAAAGTATTGTTTGAAAGAGTCAAATACTTGACTCACTCGACATTTGATATCCAACCCTATTTATGCAATTTTATTTAACTCTTTGTTTTTATATTTCAGTTCTAGTGTCTTTGTATGAGCAGCCCGAAAAGCCCAACAACGCTCTGGAGTATCCTTCTACACACCCGAGCTGAACCATCGGGTGGTTGCAGAAATTGTCTCTTTTGTCTAGTAGGTAGTGAGTTGAGCCTCTCGGGACTGAACCCAACAAAATATAAAGAGAAATGTTCACAAGTTAATAAAGGAGGCCACTGCTTGCTGTGGCTTCTTTAACAAACTCCCTCCCAGATTTGTGAAGGAGCATCTCAATTCTGGTGGTCACACTTCAGCAGACGCGGAGGCTCTACAGCAGGAGGTGATTGACTTGAGGCAGAGGTGTGCACGTCTGGCAGAGGAAAACAAAGACCTCAAATCAAGGGTACGTTTCGCCCGGTTCTCACCGTGAGTTATGTGTCATTTCAGGCAACACACCTAAACGTAGATGCTCTTTCTCCTCCATCTCTGCAGCTGCAGCGCTATGAACCTGAAGATGGAGCCACAGCTGACTAGACCGCAGCGGCGCTCTGGCTTCATCGATGTAGATTTATTTTGCTTTCAGGACACGACAACACTATTGCGTGAAGGCAGAGAACTTTTTAGGCACCTGTTTTTGTAAATCTTCTTTTCTACGGTTTCTTAGAATTTAACTTATTCTGTACATGTATGTATATAAGTTTGTTCCTTGTTTGTTTAATCTTTAGCTTTACTGAGGAATCGCCCGTCTATATGGCTGAAAAAGTCAGATCTTAAAAAGAAATACTTCACCCTTAATAAAGTATTCATTTAAGACATGGGGCATGTCATTTTGTGAAGGGTCTATTTAAAAAGAAAATGTTTTAATTTTTCTGGCATAGTTATAAACAATCATACTCTGTCCAGAGCCACATGGCCGTGTGTGACAAAGACACACTCGTACTTTATTCCCTAAAATAAAATAAAGCACTTCTCGTCTTGTAATCGTTGTCGTATCACTGATTGAACTCATTTCTAATGCATCAGTCAGGCCTTTTATTATTATGATGGGATTTTGTATGTTTATTGTAACGTTCATTACTTTCTACTCTGATGCAAAATGAACAAAACAAGTATGTAAATGAGTGATAATATTTTGGAGACAGTGGGGAACAGAGCACATCTGGTTTAATCAGATTTAATCACTTTAGATTCAAAACTATCAACAGTAATCCAACAGCTTTCTTGTTGCTGCGAATGTTATCTGATTATTGACTCGTGAAGACTAAATCTCCCCAAAACATGCAGAGATGAAATTTAACTGCAAACTTCACACTAAATATTCTTTTCTCCAAAAATATCTGGATGTTTTTGTTTAGTTTGACTTCATGGTTCAAATGTACGCATTGCTATGGGACAGACAGTTTGCCCGTCACAAGTCGGCCGTGCAACATTGTAAAAAGTATGAGACTTGTCAAAATAACATAATTAAATATGTATGGAGAAAACAGAATAGTGGCCAGCCTAAAGAGCAAGTGCTGTAGCCAAAATGCACTCTTATAGTGAAATTATATTCAATGTTTATTTGTCACACTACAATGAAAAACACCACTTCTGATCCCTCATATGTATTTGACCCAGTGCACTTCTTCCTGGTCTTGTATTATAGATGTTTGGTTGAATCTAGTTTTCATGCTAATTGAGTAGCAGTACATGCAGTCAGTCACAATAGAATACAGGTTTATTCCAAAAACAGTTTTATATATATAATATATAACAATATAAAACACACTATACAAAGTCTTCTGTTTACTATTGTAGGATGTAACCAAAAGCAATGTCAGTTCCATTAGTTGAACTACAATGGGGTGTTTAGGATTTTCACGTTATTGACTGACAGAATATGAGCAGATTGGAGGCAGCTTAGTGTGAAATCCTTAACGTGGATATGACGGTCGAGTCAATACACCTGTGACATGGGTTGCTGTAAGGAAACAGTGTGAAAGTTTAGATTTGCAGGTCTGCCGCTCGTCTGCTGCTTGCGTTACTTGCCATCGATGGTTTGCAGTTGGAGGAAGGGGGTCTGTGGTTGTGCGCGGATCCTGAGCTGGAGTCATCCAGTGACTCCGGGCTGGAGGGCCGGCTCTCATGTCTGCCATCTGACTGTGTTCCACGGCTGGCTTTTGCAACCTCGCACGAATCCGCCTCAGAGCTTTTACCGTCCAACACTGTGGCGCAATTGAAAGAGTCGTGACCCCTGCTCGGCCTGCTCGAGGCACTTAGTGGCAGCGTGGGGGCAGAGGAGGTGTCGGCCGCCTTCTGTGTGCGTTTCGGAGAGTCTGGACTCCCTCTTTCACTGCCACCATCCTCTTTACTGTGTGGATGAATCAGGGAGTCGCAGCACGGAGAGCAGGGTTCGTTGGTGGTCAAGGCGCAGTTACAACATCTGGAATCATCCAAATCGTGCCGAGTGGTCAGCTCGTTCTGACAAGGTAGACAAGTTGAAGGTTTGATAAGGTTCGGGTACATTACTGTGCCCTGCATCCTCTCCAGCAAGAGGTGGTAGTCACTGGGTCCAGAGGCAATCGTTACCCTTCGGGGTGCACTGGTGCATATTGGCGTGACAGATTCCTTCTTACACCTGTTGGCATAGTCATCGAGTTCATCTCTCTCGTCCCTCAAGTGAGGGTAGTCCAAGATGCCCTTTTTGATCTTCTTGTAACCCAGGTGGGTGATCTCCAAGATGTTCAGGAAGAGGGAGATTGCAGCGATGCATTGCATGAACATCATGAAGACACTTTTCTCCGTCGGTCTGGAAACGTAACAGTCCACAGCATTGGGACAAGGGTCCCGCTCACACTTGAAGAGCGGATGGAGGTGAAAGCCATAGAGGAGGTACTGGCCCGTCATGAAGGCCACTTCCACGACGGAGCGGGTGAAGACGTGCGCCACGTAGGTACGCAGCAGAGAGCCCCTCAGAGGAGCTTTGTTCAGCTTCCCCTGATCCAGCTGTTTCATCTCCCGCTCGATCCTCTTCCTGGCTTCGGCCAGCTCCACGTCGACAAACTCCAGCTCCTTCCGCAGCAGAGCCTTCTTCTTCTGCCGGGCCTTCTCCAGCGCCCGCAGCCTGTAGAGAGCGTGGCCCATGTAAACCAGCGAGGGGGAAGACACGAAAATGATCTGCAGCACCCAGTAGCGGATGAGGGAGATTGGGAAAGCGTGGTCGTAGCACACATTCCTGCATCCAGGCTGCTCGGTGTTGCATATGAAGTCGGCCTGCTCGTCGTTCCACACGTCCTCGGCCGCCACGCCGAGGACCAGCATGCGGAAGATGAACAGGATGGTGAGCCAGATCTTGCCGACCATAGTGGAATGGATGTGCACCTCCTCCAAAATCCCCCCGAGGAAGTTCCAGTCCCCCATCTTCACTTCGCCATGATGACTGGTAGGAAGCCAGTGACAGAGAGAGATGAAATAATTAGGAGAGAAAATCTGCTGAAACAGGTTAAAATTGTCATATGAAGGTGATAGTACAACGAAAGTGACAAGAAGTACAGTATAGATCAATTCGATTTTTAGACACAGCAAATAAGGCATGTTGACAATGTAAGCAAACTTTTCAGATTAACACAATATCAAAGAACAAAATTTGTAGTAAAACAACAACAACAAAAAACAGAAAAACTAGTGAAAATCTGAATTTAGATTTCCCAGTAACAAAGGAAGTATCAACAAATTACAGTACCTCTCAATTGGAAAAGGGAAACATCAGCTGGGAGGAAGCTTGTGAAGCAAACGTGCACAATGTCACATATTTGCAAAAATATTTAAACATATATATTTAAAGTAGAGTTGTTCATCCAGTGATATGTTCCCTTGGCTGGTCAGCTATCCAGTTGTGTCTCAATCAAACCATTCCAGCTGTGGCATCATATAAACCAGGGCAGAGTTCTGTGCACATGCCGTTTAGCTTGCAGCGGCGTGGACAGACTGCCGGTCGTGACTCAAATCTCCCCGGGTCATGCAGCCCTGGCGCGGTCGCCAAAAAGTTTCTTTAAATTGTTACCACCCTCCACATGGGTCCCTGTACATCACCCAAACCCAAGTGACCCGCCTCTCCCTCAGTGTTGCCGGAAAAAAAAAAAAAAAAAAAAAAGAGGGAACAACTGAGCTGTTGAGGGAAGGTTGCCAACACTACTCTGACCAGAGAAAGTCAATACCAACAGCTTCGCAGATGCATTTAGATCATGGCCTCACAATGACAGGCTGTAACCGGTTATAACACTGATATCGACCTCAATATTTGCAGGCCAGGGATGTTGGTTTTGTCTTTTTTTCGTACTGCAGACATAACTCACTGAACATATGTTATTGTGGTTCATGCGAGTGTGTAGATTAGGTGTGTGTGTGTGTAAATAACTAAGCTGTTTCCAAATAGATGCTTTGCAAGTCCAGACTACATGCTTGGGATTTGTTGGAGTCTGATTGCTACATATGTGCAAACAAAGAAAAATAAACAGTCCCCGTGGTTGGGATCCCCACATTATCAATACCAGTCAGTTATCCAACCAGGCCTTGTACAATCAATAGTTTTCTACTATAGCAAAGTAATCAATTCAACATCATGTTTGAGTTTGCTGCTCCTCTCTGGATGTAATTATGTTCTCATGCACTTGACACATTATTTTATCCCATTTACAAGAAATCTATCACAATGGATTAGAGTACTTGCCAACTGCACACACCGTCCAAATTCTAAATACCTTTAAATGCCTCTGTGTGTGATGAATATGCTTGTTGTCTGAGGCCAGTCGTGATATTGCAGCTTCACAACCCGTGATGTGAAATGTTTAATTGTTCTGTAGCTTTACAGAGTGGGAATATTTGATTGACAAGATTCAGGAAGCTGAACTTTTCACGTCTGACCTCAAACCTCTCTCTCTCTCTGCACAGCACAGGCAGGATTGATTCAAACCCGTCTGGTACAAACACATTAAGGGTGCAGGGGGGTCATACTGGGAGGACATGTTGGGAGAATCACAATGTTATTTTCCCTTTTTCAATCAGGCAAATCTATTTTCTTTCTTGTACTTCAACCCCAGGCTGTAAACACACTGATATATATAAATGATATATATATATATATAAATATATTAAACGTTTGACCCTATGTGTTTATATATATATGTGTATATATATACATTATAGTATATATATATATATTCATAGATTCCACATATTCCATGATGGAGAAGGAGCAAGTGTGGTTTCATGAATTTTAAAGTAGTTTATTGAACTATATTTGTCGAGAAACCATATCAGATAAATTACTTTTTTTGTCTTAAAACATCACGTTACAATTGAGCAAAAGTTCAGTATTTAAGTTTTAAATAATTAACATACAACAATGCGTTTTATAAGACTGTCACTTTGTGACTAGATGTTCACAAGTTGAAGGACCGTTGGGCTTACCAAACCAAATTAAGAAACAGTTACTTTTAGGACGTTAAAGAAAGATCCTTATTAACTCTTTAATATGAAGCTACACACTTTCAATAAGAAATACAAAAACACTATAGCAATGATAGCTTACCAGCAAATATTACATTTAAGATAGAAGAGCTGAAATCCTGGTGTTTCAGCAGTGTTCAGTGACAACAGATCTTTCGATTGCTGGACTACATAGGACAACATACACTTTCACACTGTTTCGGGGTCAAGGCAAACATGCACACGGTAATTGAATATTGATGCACTAAGTTACATTGATGGGTTATGTTTGGAAACTATAGAACTTTCCACATACTGTAGAAAGCATGCGGCAACATTCAGGTACAATTACAACATGTAAGGGAGTCCCTGCAACATCAAACAGCAGGCCGCTGCACACACACTGTTATGTGCTTATCGGCAATGAATTGGACGACCATTGGAAATGTAGTCTTCACTGTTCATTATTTATATATTTATCAGAAAAACTCAGATTCAATTTGACAAAAAATATATTTAAAAAACATTTTTATTTAAAAGGACATTGACCTGTGGAAATGCATAACCAAGTGTAGGAGGTTTCTGATTGGTCGCTGGTCATAGTTCACCTGTGGTTTTAAATAAATGAAGTACATTTTCTAACATGAGTTCTATTTCTGAATTACAAACTGCACACGATGCCCTCCTCAGACCAGTAATATTAAAGTTTTCATTTATAGACTTAATAAACAGAAAGCATACCAACACTAAACTACAGTAAATTTGTGGTATTGTACAGTAGAATACAGTAAAACAAACGCCAAAGTTAAGTACTTCCAAGGTTGAAAAACAATCAGCATGACGGGAAAATGAATCAAGTTTTACAAAATGACGTAATTAGTCCCGTCTTGTCAACAGGATGTGGCTGAAACAATAACGTGGCATTAAGCCATGGCCTGAGACTTCCTTATAAACTCTTTCATCTCTTTCTTGTTTCACAAGGTGAATATTTCACCACATTTAAGACACTCCCATAAGAGTCCTTGATGATTCAACAGAAAATATGCATAAAATAAATTCAATTGAACAGTTTGAACATTTATTTCTATTAAAGAAAAATGACATGAAATGGGACCAGTGTGTTCATTTATTTCCTGATAACCAAAAAGGCCAAAGAGGTCTAAAAACTCTAAAATATGAAAAACATATTAAAATGTACAGATAACATTTAATTCCCTTCTAAATGAATCGCTCATTTAATGCACGTTTTGCTCCACGTTGTCTGAAGATATAAAACATGCCTTCTGCAATGTTACACATGAACAGCAGGAGGCACTCTTCCCCCTCAAACTCACTAATTCAGCTCTAAAAAGAAGACAATCAGATAGTAAAAAAATACCCTGTGCATTTTTACAAAAGTCACTGAAAAGCAACTTTTCACTGAAACGCTTCAGCACATCAGTAAAATACAGCTTCCTGAGAGAGTGACATGAAGATGTTTAGTGTTACCTTTTCAAAACAAAAGGTGAGTGCAGCTTTATGGTCCTATGCTGCTGGGCTCAGGAAGACGTTAAAGCACACAGCAAAGACCAAGAACAAGACATATCCAACTATACACAGCCAGAACCGGGGGTCTTTGATTAGCTTCTTATTGTAGTCGCTGAAGAAGACGTAGCCGATGGTCATCCCGGCCGCGATTCCTCCAAAATGGGCCACAAAAGACACCTGGGAGGGGAGAAGATGAAGTGAGCTTCCAGAGTTAGCCTGAAGGAACTAATTACCCAAATTAAATGGAACACAGACTCCCGTCATCTGACCTCACACCCAAAATACTTGCAGAACCAGTTTAACAGCCAAAACAAAGAGTCGGGGAGGAGATAACAACATCCAGGAGGGAAGAAGGAATCAGGCTCATCAAACAGGAAGAAGATACTCAAAACTGAAACTATGGAGTCAAAGGACAAGGCTCGCTATTTCTCAATGTGGATTACCGATTTTAAAAAATAACTGGTTTGTGTTAAATGTGTGTTGGTATTCAGTCTTTGTTCATTAGTTCGTGCCCACACAGAGACGTATTTAACTGTAAGGATAATCAAGTCCCAGCAAGAGCTGCTAATGTTGCCTGTAGCCACAAGCACACTACATCCATCACCACACACTGTCAGCTTGGGGGAGGTTAGCTGATCTGAAAAGGTCGAGCAAGTTTTTTTTTTTTTTTTTAATTCTGCTTAAGTCCTCTGCTGCACAGGGGAAGGAAAAGCATACCTTCATATCAGCCTCGTCTGTGACGAATCTTCTGTAGAAGGCAAATCCAAAATCTGTGCCGACTGGAGAAAGAAACCAGTATTAAGTGTAAGATTATTAAAAAGTGTGATCTCAGCAGTTAGAAAAAATAACAACATACCAAATATCACTATGGCAAGGATACGAAATATTCCAAGAAGAGGAATCATCTCTCGGAAATTCTGTGAAATGAATACGACATGTATTTCAAAAAATGTTAGTGTACTGTTCACACGTTGTGCTATCAGCTAACCTTTAGACAGTGAACTGGACCACCACAGGAAATAATAGTTTTCAATGTTTTTAATTCTGTACATCAGACAAAATTGGGAGTCTTGTCTTTTCTTTGCAAAAGTTTAGGTTCAAAATAAACATTAAAATGATCCAATTCTCTTAATATGTCAAATTGTATACAATCTAAAACACTCTTCTCACACATAAACAACAAAAGTAAACACTTGAGACTGAAATGCTGACGTTCAACTCTGAACTCACCACCACTGCGTTCATAAAGTAGCCTCCTATGAGAGCATAAACACCCCCAGAAGCTCCCACCAAAGCACTGAGGGGATCAAAGATGGAGCTGGCCAACGAGCCTGAGGGGAAACAGGAAGTATCAGTGATAAAAATCAGTGGCAGCTCTGACGGCAAGTACTCCGACACAAACAGGAAAAACCCACTTCAAGACGAGTTGGTGTTAAGATGGCATGCACAGACACAGATGAAGACCTGCCAACATGAGCTGCTTGTGTAACCAACAGAGGCCACATTTAAAGAAAGAAATGAAATAAGAAAAGAAGAGGTGACCTGCAAGGACGCCTGCCATGTAAACCATCCCCACTTCAAATCCTTTGTGGACCAGTTCCAGCGGGATGCCCAGCAGCAGCTGCATCACCAGGTTTCCCACGATGTGCTCGATACTAGAGACAGGCGGAGAAGAGAAGAAGAAGGATTTACTTCATGGTGGAGGAGAAATGTCCCACAGGGGACGGACAGGATATCAAACACCCGTAGCCCAGCAGTATAGTTGATAACTTTCAATACAATGTCGGGCTTTTAAACGGGCAAGACTGTTTTTCTATAGTTTGGATATTGTAAACGAATCTCACAGGTCCCAAAAACAGATTCTGACTGACTCAAAAAAAAAACATTGTAATAAAGGAACACGTCATCTTGTGCAATAGTGCGGCTCATTGTCGTGTTTTTAATAGTTTTTGGACAACAAAGAGTCCACAGCACAGATGAATAACCAATTATTGTTGGTTTTTTATGGGATTTGTTGGGAGGAAAAATACAGAATATCGCCGTCTGTATCCTCAAAGCAAATATTCTGTTGGGTAAGTGACTGTGACCGCTGTTCCTCTTTGCACATCTAGTTTTCCTGTGTGCTTCTGTGTAGTCATGAGTTTTTGGTTTTCCTGCCGCCCTGTGGCTTATGTACACATGATCTTATTTTCAGACTGTATGCTTGCCACGTCACGTGACTTTGGCCGTGTTTTGACAGATGTGCCGGTAACTGGGGGGGGGGGGGGGGGCAACGATCGCCTGGCCTCCATGCACCTCTATAAAAAGCTACTAGCACATCAGCTTCTCGCCGTGACTATGAGGTAATGCAGAAACTGTGTCAAAATCATGACGACATATATACAAAAACACAGCAACGCTGTAATAAATTAAGAGGCGACACGGCTGACAGCGTAGGAAAAGAACCCAGCAGAGATTATGAGCTTCATGGCCATGATACTGTAACGTGTTTGTGGGTTTTCGTCCACACCTCAATGTGACTCAAGCTTTCGAGGTGTAATTAAGGTATCTAAAAAAAGGGGCCGGCCGTGCTTACCCGGCGTGAACAAACATGTAGGAGACAAAGCGCCATGCTTCCTGCCGCTTCTCAGGCTTGTATGTCAGGGGGCTTTTCCAGATGCCTTCATCCAGGGTCACCCACTGCTTCTGAGGCTTCCACACGGCGTAGTAGATGAACACTGACAGCTGACGAAGAGCAGAAAATATACACAGTTTAGTCTTGAAGAACGAGATTTAAAAAATAAAAAAGTCAAACTTTAAAGTTGGCAGCAGCAGCAGGATGTGGGTCAAAGCTAAATCCCAAACAGCTGAGGAAATAAAGACGGTCACAGCCCCCCCCTCATGCTATTTCAACAAATCACCCACTGATCCTCCACATTCCACACTTTATTTACCTGAATCTAAAAAGTCACAAAGACACAGCGGCTTTCTGTTCGCACATTGAGGAGCAGCATCTCTGAATCCCACCAGTGAGGATCAACTGCACCGGGTCTTACCTAAAGCGACGACTCATCAAAACTGCTGTTTTCATTGACACCATGTCCACAGCCTGCTAGTGAGCCCCGCACTTTATGAGTCAGGACATTTAGAAGAAGAAAATGACCGCTCACTGCCGGGGCTGGGCAGTATTTAGATATTGTATGGATATTGTGATATGAGAAGAGATATTGTCTCCTATTTAGGATATCGTATACAATATGGCATACGTGTCGTCTTTCCCTGGTTTTAAGAGTTGCATTACAGTTTTATTATTAGCTTTTACCCACGTAGTCATTAGATCCACATGACCGATGATCATTTATCAAAAATCTCATTGTGTATATATTTATCCCAAATATTTATCCCACCCAAGCTTCTACGACTTCACCTCAATATCTGCTCCACAACATACAATCTGAGCAAATCTATACAGTAATTAGCACCCTGGCAGCATTTAACACAAATGTAGGCTGCAACTAGATCACAGAATCCATACTCATCGTCCCAGTGCTCCTGCAATATGTGTGTCCTGTACATTCAGGGCAAACAGCTACCTCTGCAATACTGATAAGGATGATGAAGACGGGGGGCGGGCAGCAGTTGGCCCGTTCCAGGTACTTGTTCTGGTGGTCTTTTGGAAGCATCCATCTGGAGACAGTCCGCTGGAACTTCTCGCAGCAGCCCATCCTTTTGGCACCGTCGGGCTGGTCGGCTGCATTCGTGAACAGTCGCCCATCTCGGTCCACCGGGAGCGGCTCCTGCTGCTCGAGGTCGATGTCCTCCATCACTGCTCCAGAGCTTACACAGAAGATTAAACAGTAATGGTTGGGTTGAAATGACAGCCTCCACTTTAACCACAAAGATGAATCAACACCTCTCTCATACAGCTTCAACAAAAACTCATTATAGCCTTCATGAAGGAAGGATTTATCGCAAAGCCAGTTGTGTTCAAGTGCATCAGTTTTAGCTTGGTGTACCTAATAAACTGGCAACTATTGAGATATAAAATGATATTTACTGTGATGGAGGACTTTGATCCTTGATATTCAAACACATCAATGACTTCTCTCATGATTTAAAGTGCCTAGAAGTCAATCGCCATAAATAAATACAAATCTATCACAGGCTAATCTCTCGAGTATTTCTGTCCTAGAAATAGACAGAACTGATAACTAGAGCTGCAACTAACAGCTTATTTTCAGTAGGATTAATCATTCTGTGTATGAATAAAAAAACAGAAAATAATGAAAAATACCATTTACAAATCTTCAGGTGTCTTGTTTTGTCCAAAACCCAAAAGTGAACAGCAAATATTTGGCATCCTAATATTATTCTGTTATGAAAATACTACTATTGACGATTATTGCAGCTCCACTGATTATAAACTAAATTACATCCACATATTTTAAAAACATGTACAATTGTCTACACTGTGTCCCAGAGTTAAAGAGTACTACAATGTAAACAGTGTAGTACAAGGTTTACATGATTTTAAAATACTCTCTCAGAAAGCTCACTATCAAATAGATGCATTACTAGTGTAATTAAATACACTCCTTTAGTAAGACCTTGCTCAAATACAACTGACAGAAGCAGATGTTTTGCACAACACTACACTAAACCTGAAGTAGTATTACTTCTTCTTTTAACACCTGGGCTGAGACTTGATTATATATATTTTTAAATAATATTCACAGAAATGTGATTGGACAGAATCCGGTAGATAATGCAGTAACTGTACTGTATAAAAAAAGCCTTTTATAGTAAGCTGCATTCAGTTACAGCAGCATGATAATGAGCGTTTCCTGTTTACTGGGCGTTGCTCATGAAAATGTTCAGATTTTGTGGGTTACAAAAAAACTATTCCTGACAACTTAATGTAAATTGTAGTTAGGGGTCCCACATTGTTACGTTTCCTATAATTAGTTTTGAATGACATCGTTGGCCTTTACTCACCTAAATATTCCACAGGAAGAGTGCAGATGGCTCCACGCAGTCCCAAACGCAGAAGTATCGATTCCACTAATCTAACTCAAACAGCTCAATTTGTGAGCTGAAGCGTGCATAAATTCATATACAGTGCTAGAGTTCAAAATACGCAACGATAACGTGTTCAACACCATTTCTCCATGTTCTCAGACAAGCCGCGGAGTCGCTTCTCCTTCAGGCCGACCGTCGCAGAGGGATCCGTAGAAGAAGCAAAAGACACTTGGAGATAATTATAGACCTTTCATTGCTTTTTCCTGCAAGAAGCTTCCTTCCTCCGTCCAGACGGCCCACTTGTGATTCGCTCTTCAGCTCAACTTACAGGTGAGTTTCACTGAAAACACCGCGAATCCTGTTGGCTGCAAACTGCGCGCGCGACAACAAACAGTCTACCTGCTTCCCCGTGCCACACCTGGGGATCGGTGACGTCACCGACCAATTATCTATATAATCTCTCCTCCTCCTCCCCACACCATCTCTCCACTCACACAGCCCGGGAAAAAAAAAATTAAACCGTCTTTGATCCACGGTGTCATATATTCAAATAGTATACACCGCCTAATTCAGTAAAGTGCATGGAGGTTCAAGTTTGATATAAATGTTGCATTGACTTACATGAACCACACGGTGGCGGTAGAGTCCACAATCAAGAACAAAGGAACGGTGTTCAATGTTTACATTGGAGGTCGCCAGAGTTAAATGCTGCACTTTTAAATGCAGCCTCCCATTTATTCATGAATGAAATGTTTATCAGCAGGTGATTCAACAGATTTATTAATCACCCTGAGGGTGCTAATTAATCATGGTATTGTCATTTCTTCAATACACAACTTGACAACTAATATTTTAATCAATATTATATTGTATAATCCCTTTGAGAGAACAATTTCTTTAAAACAAGTTGCTTATGATCATTAACAGTCAAGAATAGCTACTTCATGGAATGATTTAAACAGGAAAAAAATAAATCAAGTTTGGCATTTTTGCTAGAAAAGTGTCTCACAAAAGCACCGGCTTCAGCTCCAGCTGAGATTGTGTGGATTAAATTGAATTTTTAAGGCGACATGGATGAGACGTCTTTTAGGTGCTCGGGGAAAAATGGAAATGTAAACATCCGCAACTCAACCTGGCCATCTTTACCTGCTGAGACGACCATGTGAGAGGACTACAGAACGTGTCACTAAAAACATCTCAGACAACAGATTTGAATCACAGAACTTTTATTTTTTTCAAAAGGGAGAAAAATCCACATTCTCAGGTAAATAGTTGTGGGGGGGGGGGGGACGACGACAATGTGAGAAGCAGGAGCCATTAAATACAGCTGCTGGAAGATTATACAGAATGATCACATGAGCCAAAAAGCATTGTTCTACAGCGCCGGCAAGAGATTTGACACAGATCTGCTTTAGTCAGGATTTTGAGAAAGCGCATATGAACAAGAACAAAAAAAAATGCTTCATACATAGTTTATCTTTCAGATTCTTCTAACTTTTGGCCAGCAGCAATAGTTTTGAAGTAAGAACTCAACATGTGGATTAAAAAGAGGATAAACCATGGCACCCAAACAGTTTAAAATGGGGGGTTGGGATAGGGAAATAAAATGAAAATCAACTGGAGGGAGGGGGAGGGCAGTAGAAGAGCAGCCGTCTAGTGAGAGGGAGCTGGGATCTCATCACGGTGAGTTCAAGAGACATCTGAAACACAGACGATAGTCAGTTCAACCCTTTTCACTCACAACACAGATCAAACAAAGAAATGGAAACGGTGGTTTAGGATACTTACAACTAGCAGGCCGGGCTCCGTATCTTCGCATGATCTGGTCTTGTGTGAATTTCACAAAAGATTCATATTGTTCTGGAAAGAGAAGAAGATTTAAAAATGGTGAGGAAGCGTGCTGCAGATTCAAAGTCTTTTTGTGAACATCTCTGCCGACACAGAACAGGAAAAACTGCTAAATCTCTTCTTCTTTGTCCTCTTTTCAGGGAGCAAACTACACAGCTGTGCATCGTAGCAGACACACAGTAAGACTGCCGATTCTCGCGTGTGTTAAAGACTTATTGTGGATGTAATCTGGGTAAATACAGTTTGGCTCCAGCTGCTAAACTTCTACCATCTTTATTCCACTTGTTTCCCCGTTTACAGACCGTGGTATCTGGAAGTATAAGTAAACTCTGTTTGGATGCCAGCGCTGCAGACGTTATCAGTTATGAAAAGAAAACACATACGCATAAGGGAGGGGGCAGGATGCTTCTCATTACACAGTGACACTTCTACTGTACTTCACTGACAGACTGTAAAACATGCTGTCCAGATGAATAGTGAGTGCTGCGGTTTTATATATTTTTTTGTTTATTACCTGCGAGTTTTGTGTTAAGAATCTGTTCGTACTCCTCCCGGATCTTCTCCTCGTGGTCTTTAAGCAGCCGCTCACACAGGTAGCTCACCTGCTTCAGTGTAAACGAGGGCTGGTCCTTCCTTGAGGCACCTGAGAAACACAAAGAAAGGCTGATTCAGTCACATCTGTGGCACAGCGATGAGTCACGCAGACAGAAATGTCCTCTCTCCAGAAATAGGTGCTCAGCCAGGTGCAAATTTACAGCTTTGCTCTTTGTCGTCCCTCACCTCCGTCAGCCCACAGGGTCATGCAGCACTAATGTGAGCCCTCTCTCTCCCCTCCCACAATGCCTCTGTCACAGTGCAACTGGAGCCAGCTTTAGCGAGGTGATCCTTTACCCAGCGGTCTTTGAGGTTCTGCTGTAAGCCGTTTAGACTAAAACGTTTGTAAATCACAGGAGAGGATGGCAGAGCGCGGATGAAGGTTTAACGGCCGTCTCTCAGAGGCAGAAAGAGGCCGTGTTGGTAACGGTGCAGTCGGTGTGATCTACGAGACCATCCTGCAGAGTGATTAGGAAGAAAACGCTGGAGCCTGAAGGCCCGGGGCGGGGATTACATCCCGCACCCAAACTGCAACACCACTGCTGCAGCACAAGTTTGTTCCCGAAGAGGAGCAAAAAGCAAAAGCACCATGTTTGGCAATATAAATTATCAATTATGTTAATTTTTTTATTCTATGATGGGCTGAAACAAACTGAATCCATCACAATCTACACGCATTTCAGGCGCCAGGGTAGCAAAAATAAACGTTTTTTTTCAGTAAATAACTTGAGTTGAGCATAAAGTTATGCCTATATGGACAGACGGTTTGAAGAAAATAGGTGATTTTGGACGTTTACTTATAAGACATCTGGATTTATTAATGTGTTCACAAAGAAAAGATTGCATCATATCTTTGTAGATATGAAGCATGAAAGTACAATGTATTTGTAGTTCCATCTGAAAACATAACTATTCTGAGGGAACGAAAGCCGACTTTTCAGGAATCTCAACAGGATATGACTGAACTCGGAGGAGAGAGACATCTCCATTTCAGGAGTGGGCTGGATTTGGCACAAACAACTATAAATCTTTCATAAACTCACATCTGGAATCACAATTCCTCTGCCCTTGTGATTGTTTTTGATGAGCAGCAGTAGCCTGCCTCTTTAGACTCGAGTTGGTCATGCAGGTCCAGCCAAGGGTCTTTTGGCAGGCCTTGCAGAACGAATGACCTTATCATTCCTAACCGTTACAAAGATTAGGCTTAAAAAGGGGGTTTTTGGATGGTTTTCTGCTGTCACTTCAAGGACTTGCTAACCAGAACAAAACAAAGCAGACATGTTATTTAAATCACCCGTGTAGCAAAAGTACAATACAGCTACAGCTGTGAACAAATCTACAATAATCTAAACATTGACGAAAATGTAATATAATTGGGCAGTCAGACCTAGATAACTGCCATCACAAAAACACACGCATGTTAGTCTGGAGAACATCCATAAACTGGCACTAATAGTGCCATGCTGTACCCATGTACATGACCATGGCCTTTGGAGTAAAACCATAAAACTCATGTGTGTGTGTGTGTGCACGGTCAACCCTAAATGCTCTTACCTGGTGGGGAGCTGGGAGCGTTGAGGGAGGAACTGGAGCTACAGGCCTCGGTCTGGTTGAAGGCCCCTTCCAGCTGCCGCCGCCTCTGGATCCGGCTGTACTCCTGACGGAGGTTCTGGAAGATCTGCTCTGTAGGGAGCAAAACAGAAACAAGGACACAAACCGTTTAAAACAGGACAGAGGACGCCCCAAATAATGAAGGCGCCACACATTTCTTCAACCCTTTTGGCGGTTGTGAGGCGGTGCTCCCAATGGGCTTCCAAAGCAAACTCAATCCCGACTTTCTCACTTGGTTGCTTGGATGTCAGCACCAGTGTTATTACTGAAACTTTAGCTTTTTGTGATGAAATGGCCACAAATGTACAGGTTTTTAAATGCATCATGTGCCGTTTAAGTCTCTATTTCGAACGTGAAAAGGAATTATGAATCTATCCAGTCGTAGTAATTGTCCCGATTGCTCAACAGTGATTCATTACAGGAATTAATCAGCATTTTCATTAGTTTGGTCTTTAATGCGTGTTCTTTTCGATACTGCACCCACCACAACCACATTCAAAACAATGCTGAATGTATTCCAGCATTAATTAGGACTATTACAGGAAGGCGTAATCATCCACACTGAAGATAAACTAAAGCTATGCTCACTTCCTCTGTCGTTTCTCACCTAACACGGGTTCCAAAATACAATCATCAACAGGAAGTAGAGGCGTGACAGACTGACATGAGTGACATACCTACTACAGCTGTAACAAAGACAGAGCTTACTTAAAGACAAACTTTTTTTTGTCTTTGACTATCACTTTCACTTCTCTTCCAAAAGTTATTTATGACGTCAGCATCACCACAGCTGGTGAGAAGGCTCGCATTAAGGCTTCAACACAAATCAGCGTTCTTCACTGAGCTGTAACAAAGTAGAAGCCTCTTGTTCTTCTGAGGCTTGTTCAGTGGTTGTGTAGATGCTTGAGGTTTTGGTGGATGGAAGAAAATAAACTGATCTATGTGATATAAGACTGCAATGCAAACAATGTCAAACATTACGTGTCTCACTGTAAGATCAACCAGAGCTTCTAGCCTTACTGGCCAGCTACGCACTGTTTAAGCACGAGCCCTGATAAATCATGCTAATTCATAGGTTAATTACCGATTAAATATGTACTCAAGATGATCTGCATTACAAGTATGTACAGAAAACTTAAAATACCATATCCTTTATTTTTTATGTTTCTCACTGAAACTGGAGTTTTCCAATGATCGTGTAGGATGGTTGTCTTTCCAAAGTGCCTGCGTTGTCACAATCATTTAATCTACGGACAGTAAGCCAACTGGAAAATGGCACCTGAGCCCACATCTAAAAAGCACAACAGCAACAACATGACACAGTTGACCAATATCGGGTCGCAGTATGGCGAG